TAACTGCCATGAAAGTCCAAATTCTCATCATATAGTTAAAGATAGTGCTCCATCAGTGTAAGATCCTGAAACTGCTAAGGCATAAAACCGGCATTATTAGCACAGCTGGAACTTTGGGCTTCAGTTTAATAGCTGTATGTTTTTGCAGTTTCTCAAAGGTACCAATAAAACTCACTATTTTGAAAGAACAACACATTTTCTGGGCTCTATTCTGCCAAGACATTTCTACATATCAATCTGCAGATGGAGAGTTGACTACGTATTTCCTTGTCTCCCAGCTGCTTTGAGAAATAACACACAGCAGAGCCACCTGGATTTAAAGATCCTGAAATTCACACACACAAGGAATGGAGAAAAAACATTCCAGAGGAAAATTCTATTACAACACCATTCAGGTTGCTACTGCTTAAAATAAGTCCCAGCATACATACAGCCCTGCATTTCAGTAATTTAAGATCAGGATCAAAATCAGCCACATGCAAACAGGATATGATGTTCTTCCAGCCACTTGATGCATCTCTTATATGGATGAGCAGGGCCTGTTTGGAAAGCAGAATTATGAACTAGAAAAAACTGATTATCTCCTATGCTAAATGCCAAGAAGAGCAATTGTCAGATAAAGCACCTGGGACAGAGAATCAGCTGCCAAGTTTGGTTTACATTTAACTGCCTTTGAAAACAAAACAGTCAAGAAACATGCCATTAGTATACGCATAGTTAAGATTCTATATGTTAACTTAATTTTCCCCAGAACAGTTTTGAAGCCTCCAAACTGTATTCTTCTCAAAGCATCTTTCATCTCAAAAAGATCACCAACTGCTACATGACCATTTCATTTGTCAAGACTTTAAGATAATTATCAGAGAATTACACTTAATTTTCACACTTAACCCAACTGAGAAGTGGTTAAAGGAATGATTATGGCTATCTCACACATTACCTCTAGGTGACATCAATTATCAAAGTCTACATCAAGTCAAAACCAAGTGAGATTCTGCTTTACACAGCCTTCAATACTCTATGAAAAAGAGAAGATGATACAAAGAAGCAGAGGAGAAACATGACAGCAACACAGAGAGGTGCTCTGAGAATGGCAGAAATGTTGTACGGAAGAGCAATAACAAAAAAAAAAATTAACCGTTTTAAAGGCATTACATTAAGAAGAAAAAATACTGCCTACGTAAGTATTACAGTACTTCTCGTTAATCCAGAATTTGAAAACAAACAATAGACTTGTTCTTTAATATGTATTTATTATCTTCCTATCTCTTACACTGGCTTCTGAAAAAAGACACGTAAGAACTTACTTCACATTTCAGAAAATCAGTTCAGAATTACAAACATTTCTTAATGTAGGAGGCATCCAAGCAGTGATTTACTGTGTTGCTTAAACAAGAAAGGAAGCCACAGCCAACTGCTCTGATAGCAAAACAACTCATTTCAGTTTTCAAAGCTTATTATCCAGTTACCAAAAGTTGAGACTGTTTAACCAACTTTCATCACACTCTTGCAGATGGTCTAGAAATCAGTTGTGTTAGGTCTTCTCCTCTACAAAAAACTATACTTTGTTTCAGAATACTAAAACGAGAAAGAGTTATTATGCCATTGCACTTAACCACCAGCAGTGAATACAAATGTACTATTTCAGATCATTCCAGCAAACTCAGGACTTACACAAAACACCACAGTGAGTCAGAACTGCCCAGACTGTACTTCTGATGCAGCCCTTGTTATAAAGCAAGGACTAAGTGGTTTTCAGCAGCTTAAATATACTCCTCTGAAATGAATATACACCATTTGGCTACCATTTGAGTCTTTACTCCACAGAATTTTTGGTGACTGTACATCTTCCAGGAGTCTATTTGGTTCATTTACTTGTATGTTTTAGAGTGTTATTTTCACAAAGTACATATCAAAATTGAAAATCTATTTTTTGCTCTTACTGAAGAGGGGAAAATCCCCAAGAAATTTAATATAGGGATTTTTTTCCCCCCCAGAAAAGCTCCTGAGGAAAGTGGCACAGCACTGCTGTGCAGCTGCTCCGGAAAGCCATCCCAAGTCAGCACTTAGCCCTCACGTTGCACTGCAGCCACCCATTTACAACATGGTCCTGTATTTTTACTGCAACTGTCCTTCAACATTCACTAATGTGCTTTAAAAAAATATATATATATATAAATTACAAGTAAAAATGAAAGTCTCCCTTGAGCAACTTCAGCAAGACATGTTAAAGAAAATTCAAGGACAATATGAGTACTAAAAAATGTGCTTTAAGCCCAAAGAAGTGTTTGTCATAATAAAAATTTATGGCAATTCTCTTGTTTGCAAAAGGATATAAATAGTTCAAAATTTCAAATTCACACGCATGACACGTTTGCAAGTTCAGAAAATTACTTTCAATTACTAAAAAAAGAATACTGGCAGAGAGTGCGGAATCACAAAGGGCTCCCTCAGATCACCTCCAGACAGCAGCAGAAAACCTGGTGCCCGCTACATTGCACTTCTTTCTTCTCTCATAGTACAACTGAAGGTACATGAGAGTAAAAGCAAAGCAGCAGTATTGTTAACAGGGCGTGAATAGTAATCTGCAGGAACAACAGACTATTACCTATTTTTCTCCACCGTGATTTCTGGACTAATTAACTGAAGATAATGAACTATCACTATACTGATAGTTACAGCATTCCACTCAGACTACTTTTTGAGGCAAGACATAAATATACTCACAAATGCATATAAAAAGCAAATTAACACAGGCTGCGATGCAAAACACACTATTTCATTGACACCAGCCAGTCAAACTAATATTCCTCTGAGGAAAATGGTAGATTGTTTTCACTAGTTCCATCTCAAATCTAGAAGATGCTTAGAGGTTCTGAAGAAGTAGTTTTTAAATACTACGTAGACTCCTTGGGCTTCAACTCTTAACGTGGTATGACCAAAGATCCCTTTTTACTATGTATGAACATCAATTCTGCAAAATGCAGCAGTGTGAGCAGACACACAACTTGCCCGGCACACGTATTTGGAAGCTCCGGCTTTCCAACTTTCTGCTTACTGTCATGAGTCACCTTACCAGAGGTAACAAAGTTCCAACAAGGACAACACCAGAAAGCAACTTCAAGAATTCAGATTTGAGGGGGAAGTTCATTAATCATTCAGGTAATGAAGATGGTACGATATCTAAGCAGCAAAGCAAAAACATGAAAAAATCCATCACAGAACAAAGAAAATAATTGGGGGAAAAAAATAAAAATCATTGCAAATGGCCGCACCAAAAACTAACAAAGCTCTATTACTGAAACAAAAAGCCAATTCTGTGCTAATCAATCACAGCAGAGGTGTCAATCCTGACACAAAGCTCTAACAAGCAGATACATGTAAACTGGCACACAGCATACGTGCCTAAGAATCTCCAAGTTCCTCCAAAAAGCCTCAGCAGATACTGATGCATGTACTTACCTCACCCTATCTAGATGTGTGTGGCACACCAGGGGAAAAACAGAAAAAGGGCTCTGTAAAACTTACATCTTGCTTTCCCCCATCCCCCTTTTGGCTACTGATGTGTACTGATATGTATAGTGCCACTGCTGTTTTTTGTTGTTGTTGTTGTTTTTAAATTAATTTCCATTCATAATAACACTTCAGTGCACATATAAAGAAAGGGCATCAGCAACATCAGTCGGCTTATTTATGCCAGTATGTTTCCAGTAGTACTTCTATTCAGGCATAATACATTACTAAAATATTTTATTCTTTTAAGACTAAACTAAGGTTTGTTACACGTGGAACTTGCTTGAGTTCAGAATTACTGAAAGTTTTGGAACTCTTCATGCCAATTATGCATTCCACAACCACAAAAAAAAAATTAAAAAGACATCTGGCTGTAAATGCCACCACTTCTGCATACACGTCATGGAAATAAGACAAATGTTAGGAACTGAAAAATGATCTCACTTTCTGTAAGAACAGTCTCTTTCTTTTGGGTGAAAAAGAGTATTTCCTACTTTCCCCTGCATCCAAAAGAGAATGGACTATGTTTCACACTCAAAGATATGGAGAAGCACAGATAAAACCCCCAGATGTGCAAGACTCTTCCCTTTCAGTCTCTCCTCATCGCTAAGCTCTGCAGCCAAATAAGTTTCTCCAAAGCAGCCTCTCTTTTTAAAAAGCGTATCTGAATTTCAGTACATCAGTATCAGTACACCTGATGCTTGCCTACAACCAAAGCGCCACGTTTCGGTACGGAAGGAGAGGCCATGAGCAAAATACAGGTCGCAGGAGAACACCTCACTCTGCAGAGCGCTTTCTGGGGAGTCGGTGCTGTTTCGGGACCTCGCACGGTGTTTGCTCTCCGAAAAAAGGACAGCTGGTGCTGCGCTGAGTTTTCAGAAGCTACTGGATTTCTAGCGCGCACTCCGACACGCCTGAGCGCGCGATCCCGCTACCGACATACACGAGCTACGCTGACCCTATCAGGGCTCAATGCTTTTCTGGGGAAAAACAAAAACGAGATCGTGAGACGGTGCGCGTTCGCCTTCGTTCCGGAAAGGCCGCGTAACGACCGCAGCGCCGAGCGCGGCACGGAGCCATCCAGCCGGGACTCACCGCCCGCTGCCGCTCCCGACGCTCTTCCTTCCGTACGGAGAGCCCGGCGGGAGGCCCGACCGAAGCGGCCCAACTTTCCGGGGGAGCCCCGCAGCGCGGCCCCTCGCCCGCAGCTCTGCCGGGCGCCCGCGCCCCGGGGGGCTCCCGCCGCCCCTCCGCCACGGCGCTTCCTCTCAGCCCCGGCCCGGAGCTGCCGGCGCCGCCTCTCGTTCTCAACGCGCTGAGGACGCCGCGGAGCGCCGGAGACCCCGGCCCCGCCCCGCCCGGGATGCGGAGCGCCGCCGCCCCGACGCGCGCGGTCTCGCAGCTGTGCCCGCGGCCGTCCCGTCCCCGCCCGCCCCGCGCTGCCCCCGGGCGGCGCCGGGACGGCGGCAGCACGGCGGGGTACTCACCGCTGTTCACAGGGGCTCTCCCCGGCCCTTCCCAGCGCCTCGGCGCTCGGCACGCCGCGCCTCCATCCGCTCGGCGGACGCTCCTCTCTCTCTCTCTGTCTCTTTCCCCGCTCTGCCCCACGCTCGGCAGTCTCTGGAGCGCTCTCTCGGCTGGGCCGGGTGGCGGGGCTGACAGCCGGCGGCGCACCTCGCTACGCGCTGGCGGACCGCGGCTGCGGCCGCCCCTTTGTTCGCGGCGGCGCTGACAGCCGCGGGCGGCGATGCCCGGCCCCGCGCGGCGCTTCCCCTCAGCACCAGCCCGCAAGGCGGCGGCGGCGCCTCACGGCCCCGGCCCGCTCCTCTCCTCCCTCTCTCCGACCGCGGTCAGCGATCGGCAGCGGCGGCAGAAGTTCAGGCCGCCGACCCGGAAACTCATCGGCGGCCGCGGCCCGCGGGGCTCCGACGGGAAGCGAATCGCCGAGCCGGGGGAGGGCGCGGGGCGGAGCCGGGGCGGAGCGGGCTATCTGGCGCGGGGCCTGTGGGCGCCGGCCGCGGCGGGACGATGAGGCGGCGGTCAGCGGCGCCGAGGAAGGCAAGGGAACGAAAAGGGGTCGGGAAGGAGGGGGCGGGGCGGGTTCTGGCCGTAAGGCGGCCGGCGCGGGGCCTCTTCTGCGTCCCGCCCCGCTGAGGACGGCGAGGTCCTCGCGGTGTCCGGACCCGGGGGTGGCTGAGGGAGGCTCCTGCACGTTTCGGTGCTGGTCTGGAGCCCGGAACAGATGGGCGTTAGAATCTGGGAGGTGGAGGCAGCGGTAGATACGAGCTGAAGCTATAGCGAGCGCATCACGCTGCTCCGTGTTGGAAAGGAAGTAGCGCTGGCTCAGCTGTTCGCGGCTCAGCCGCAGCCACCTGCGGGCGCGCGTCGGCCTCTTCCTTTGAGAGACGAAAGTGAAGCCCGGAGCCCGGGCCGGGTGCGATGAAGGGCCTTCAGTTCCCAGGGAGCGGGTTGAAACGCGTTCCTCTGAGCTGCGCCTGCCTGCCTGCCTGCCGGCAGCGATACCCCTTACCGCCTCACGGTCCGGTTGGGATCACTGGCGGCGCATTCTGAAAGTGGTCAATTTTATTGTCGCATCCTCTCAACCCCACCCTTTTCGTCCTCCCTTTTTGTTTTCTGAAGTCACGTGGCAGCTCTCAGAGCCATTTGTTTCCTGGAGTCGCCGTCCTACCTCTGAGCAGAGCGCAGAGCCTTTCAGAATTCACCCCGCGCTGCTTCGCCTGCCCCTGGTCCTGCCCTAAACCCTGAGAATCCTGGGGCACGTATCATGCTTCTAAAGGATGGGTCTTTCTTCTTCTTTTACATCTCACAAGTTACTGTATTGCTTATTTGACGTTACTAGAGGATGCTATAATTCCAATTCATATTTAGATATTTTCATTCTGATATACTTTGTAAGTGCTGTCATTACGTCACCTAATAGCTGGAGGTGCAAGCGTGCTTGTGCTTTTATTTAATTTTTTTTAAATATATTTTCAGGTAGTCTGGTCCCAACAAAAATACTGGAGTAAAAGCATGGAAATCTGAAGACCTCTGTTCCTCCTAAAAAGGTGAAGAATGTAAAACGGTACAATTACAAATCTTCGTGAGTGAATTAATCTGCAAACAGCATATGAATGAAAGGGAGTTACCAAATATTCTGTGAAATCAAGCTGGCAACTTATTCCTTCTAGAAGCTGTTTGAATGAATTGTGCTGAGTTTACAATTCTGCCGAAGTAAAGAAAAAACGAGTCCGTATTATAGCTTATTTTTATCTGTTCTGTTACTTGGGTTGTAGGCAAGACTGCTTATAGGGAGGGAAAAAAGTAAAATCAGGGTTGTTCTTGAACTGATAAAAATGCAGTACTTTCTAATAGCACCATTTCTGATTGATATGCTTGTAACTTTACAGTCGTTTTATTTTTTAGTTTCGTATAGTTGAATTTCTTCAGCTTTTCGTCTGCCTTGTAAAATGGGAAGATATTTACAAACTGAAAAAAAACAGTTTTACTGTAAAAGAAATTTAGACAAGAAGATTTTTCATATTAAATCTATATGATGTTCCCCATTCTTTTACTCATGTCCATGTTATTGCTTAATGAACAGGAGGCAGAACTACAAAAAAACCATCGGTGTTTTTCCAGTTAAAGAACAATTAATGAGAAACACAAAGAATCAGTAGGCATAATTACTGTGTTCAGGATTTAGCATGTTGTTGGATTTATTTTTGTTTTTATTTTTAACTGAATCATCCTATTTATTCATTATTTCTAGGGATAAAATAACAACCAAAAAAAAAAAAAAAGATGGGAAATCCAGAAACCATCGGGAATGCATACGTTGCAGTGATTCGTCCAAAAAATACTGCAAGCCTGAATTCTCGGGAATATCGAGCTAAATCCTATGAAGTAACATTATTTAGTATTTTTCTTCAATGACGTTTTAAAAATAATATGTAATAATAAGTGTATAATAATACAGCTTAAAAGAAAATCTGACAGTAGGATATGACATACATGTCATATATCTGCTATGTGTTGCCCTATCATTAGAATATTTAAACACTTTACAGTTTGTAATTTTGATGTTTTATTTCATTTCAGGGCCTTTTGCCCTGTGGGCTGCTCAGTGCAAGGGTGCAGCCTTGTCTTTTTGTCTTTAGCCTTAGTGTTAAGGAGGTTGTTCTGACTTTGCCCTCCTGCTGCTCCAGATTCAGTACTTCCTGAGTTATATTACTGCTTTTATAGTGGTATGATAAATACACGCATAGGCATGGAGTTGTTCTGTACTTGTCTAAGTTGTCCTTTTGTTTTATTATTGTTTGAAAGATTTTGTTGCTCGAGGTTCCCATTGAAGGTCAAAAAAAAAAGAGAAAGAAAGTTTTATTGGAAACTAAGCTGCAGGGCGGCACTGAAATAACCCAGAGCATCTTGGATTATGTCCTGGAAGCCACCAAACCAATTTCACCAGCCAATCAGGGTATTAAAGGTAAAAATATTTTAATCTGATTTGCTGTCAACAGCTCTGTAAAATAGTTTAAAACTTAAACAGGGTGTGGGGAGATTGTCAGAGAGCGTGATGTTAGTTTAAAAGAGAAGGTCTGCTTTGAGTTCGTAAAAAAAAAACACCCAAGCCACACAGCTTTTAATTAGCCATAGTTTCTCTTTACCTTCCATCTCTGTAAAATGCTTACTAAAATATTCTCAAATGAATATTTTCCTATCCATACTGCTTTTTAATCTCAAATTGAGAATTCAATTTCTGGCAAACCAGATTGAAATAGCTTTTCTAACCTTAATTTCAGCTCAAATTCCAAATAGCGAATTGATTACTTACAAAGTCTGTTCAATGCCAGCATTGTTAAAAGTATCTATGTGAATGTACATATGGCATAACTGCATTGGTTACATACATAACTTGATGAGTATGCTGGTTGTTTTTTTTTTCATTACTGTGATGTAGCTGGTCCAGCAAGTGACCTCGAATTTGTGCTGACAAAAATTGGTTTACTCAGCTTATTTCATTTCCAAACTGGTATAAACTACTGACTAAAGCACTTTGTTTCTTGTGTATCTCCTCTTTGTTTTGTAAGCAAGGTTACACTGGGAAGGTTGTCAGGCCAAACAAGACAGTACAGTGCTTGGAAAAGGAATAGGTGGTTGCATGGTAAAATGCTGCAGATGGTAGTAACCGGACCTAACAAAATTAGTGAGGCAGGAAACATAACTTAATAGCATTAATACATGCTTCCTAACAAAAGCAAAACTGTTTCATACCACAGTTTTGAACTGACTCACACAGGACGGAGGCATTAATATGCACCGTTTAGTGTAGCCCCTGCTAAAATATGCAGCTGTGGTCAGAAAAGCAAACAAAATGCTAGATTCTGTAAGGGTAGATGGGAGGACAGCATGGAAAATACTGTCCTGCCACTACATGGATCATCCTAACATGAAATACGGCGTGCAGCTGTGCTTTCCCATTTCAGAAGGAATCTTCTTTAACTTAAAAATTGGTGGTTTTGAGACATGAGAGCAACCTGAATAATCAGGAGCAGGGAGAAGTTATTGTGAAAAAAGGTGTACAGTGCTGTCATTTTTCAGGCTAATGACTGTGTACGTATTGATGTTCTTTATTTTGTGTATTTATTTAGATGTTCTTGGCTTGATTTAGATTTTAGCTAGTAATATGCCCTTTTTCTTCCTAGAAATTAGGAAGGATTGGTCTGATAGGCATCCAGTTAACTGTCTTTAGACTGTTTTTATGTATTTATTTAATTATGTTGGTTGATGTTTTCATTTTAATGTAATATGCTAGGGAAGCGTGTAGTGCTAATGAAGACATTCCCTCTGGATGGAGAGAAAGCAGGCCAGGAGGCATCACTTTACATCGTTCCTACTGTTGTGAAAGGTAACAGTGAGCATAATTTCTGATGCTGCATTCGTTTTAACAGAAGTTCAGTTGAAGACTTCAGGATTTTTGTAAATGTGCTGTATGTCTTTTTTATTTAAACATCAAAAAGTTAGAGTTAGGTAGAAAACTGTATACTTTAAAACCTGAAAATGTTACTTAAAATCCTTGGAAAATGTATTGCATTTGTTTCCATAACCATAGCACACTTTTGATTTAAGCTGTTTGTTCACTGAATGCATACGTTTTGAAATATAATCAACTCCTATAAAATTCACTGAACATAATTCTATTTCAGACATCCAGACTATTCAGTTCAGAGTTGTTTACTCAGAGAAGAATGCTTAGCAAATTCTGTAAACAGTTTTGTTTGAACAAGGAATGATGAATGATGTTTTTAGAAGCAAAGTGTACTGCTTGTCAGGAAAGTATTTGAAAACAAGCCTGAAACAAATGCCTGTGTGCTTTTGCTGAAACTTCTTTTTGCTTTTGTGGTAAGACCCTAAGGATAAAAACTATCAAATAAATAAATACCATTGTAGAGTTACCAATAGCAATGACCTCTTCAGTTCTGAAGTCCTATTCTTTCTTTTTCTGGGAAGAGCATGCATTTCATATTAATTCCTCAGATGAAGCTGATCACAGTGATGAAATAGTAACTGGACACTTAAAGGTTTTTAAGGTTACCCCATTGGGATATGAATAGCTATGTGAGGACTCTGTAATTTCTG